GAACCTTTAGTGAGTACCTGTTGTAGAAGAATGCAAAACTCATCCTTATCTACACTAAGTCTATCATTGTATCCATCACCAAATGTCTGAGAAAAAATGCATTAAAAAATAAGATAAAAAATTATGCAAATTTATACATTCTAGCAATTAAAAATAAATGAGAAACAACAATATTAATAACAATATATTATTATTCAATCAAACACTCTTTGTATTACAAACTTATTTGGAGAAAACAAACATAATACCAATAAAAAAATTGTAATGAATATAATTATTATAATTTTGGAATGTAGAATGTTATTAGTAATTACTACCCATAATTCATTTACATTTCATTCCTTAATACCAATTAATAAATGAAACTTTGAACTCATTAGCATACCATAAATGCTGACTTGAGTTGCTGCAAATCCTGTATGTTGAGTCTATTCTCGAGCTTCACACCGTACACCAGGACACTGTCCAAGTTGTTCTTATTAGAAGCCATATCTAGAGAGGGGAAAAGTAAAGTTTGAATAATTTGCAATTTGTGTAATCTTCCTTATGTTTAAAGACATGCAGATGCCTATAATATTTCAATAATTTTGGTTAATCTTATTTTATCCTAAAATCTGTCTCTTATACACATCTTTAATGATGTACTGTCCCATGCAATATAACAAAAAAAATCATAAAAATCATTTTTGAAATTAACCTGCTCATTTTGAAGTAACATAAAAATTATTAAATTGAACATAGAAATTTTGTGTATTTAAAAATGTTTACCCATTATTTTACATTGAAAAATGATATTAACCCTTCCAGTCACTGGAAGTGTTTTATTATTTTATTATCATTATCCAGTATAAAAATAAGGGTAGACAATTTGTAAATTCAATAAATGCTCAAGTTAATAATTTGTATGTTATAGAAAAATGAGCTAGTTAATTTCAATATCATTTTTTATGATTTTTATGTCATTTTCAAGGGACAATATATACGAAAATCAGTCAAAAACCTGAATGACTAAGCCAATGCCCACATGCTCTTCCTGCCTTGAAAACCTAAACCATTTTCTTTTTAAAGGTGTTTATATGTTAAGATACAATGGCAGTAGTTGTTTTTCAGATTCATAAATTAGCCTACAACATGATATTCTATTACTATTACAGGTTAAGATTTTGTTATACATTTGTTTATTACAAATTGGACATTATACAAATATCCTAGAGGAAACCATATGCTGAGGTCCCAACAAAATTGCGTACCTCTTGAAAGATATTTCATACATTATCACATTTACCTGAGTTGCTTTAACACGGTCATCTTTTTCTACATATTCCAGAAGTAAATGTGATGCGATCTTATCCTGAAATGAACCCCAATAATATGTTAAGCTTTCTTCTAATTTCAAGTACACATGTCTATGCCAAGGTCAAGGCATATAAATAAACACTCATACATTACTTAAATCGTTATAGCTTACAATTGTTTTTATTTATTTATTACAAATTTATCACGATAAATTAAAAATCACCAGGGGATTGACTAAAGATGACATGGGCTAAAGCCCAACCCATCAAGTAGTCCTCTCTAAATTGGCCAATAACAAATACAATAAAATGTATTGTTGATCTTCAATGCATTTTTCTGTTTTGAAATGCTTTCAGGTTGATTAAACAGGAGGTGCTATATAAATCTTGAATTAATATATTATTATAAATTTTCCCAACACTGTAACCATTTTTACTTGTTCTTTAATGTCTGCATTCCTACGGCAGCACCCCTCACATTACTACTCTGAGAAAATGTTGCCTCTCCTTTTAAAAATCCTGGATTTGCCCCTGACTACCACATGAAGAAAATTATGATGGACCCAAAGTAGATTTTAGATCAATTTGAATATTTTGAAAAAAAAAAACATGATTTACTAAATATATTATGTTGCTTACCCAATCAACTTTGCCCTCCTTAGTAACATCAATCTTGTCAAACAGATCACAATGCTAGAATGGAATGGGAGTTCATTATTACACATACACATTTACATTCTCAGCTTCAAACGAACATGACACTATATTTCCCATTGATATGCTGGATTTCATTTGTACATTCAATGATTCATAAGACATTTATTTACTTCCATAGTAGAGTACAAACACAGATATATATTAAGATGTGATTTAAATGAATAAAAAAAAGAAGGAATAACAAAAAAATAAGCTACAGTGGAAGAAGGCATGATCCCGATAAGATGAAGACCTTGTGATGGGCATGCCTTAAATATTAAGTAAATTCAAAATATGAAAAAGAAAATAGTTGACAACACAGGTAAACAAATAAGTAAAATGTCAAATAGACTGTTAAGAGCAGAAATAATTGCATCTTTTTATTAATAATTACAGATGTATTGTCCCCCTAAAAATGACAAAAAAATCATAAAAAATAATTTTTAAATTAATTTTCTCATATGGCAATAACATACAAAATATTAACTTGAGCATAGAAATTATTTAATTAAAAAATGTGTACCCTGATTGTTTTACATGATAATTATAATAAAAATAATAAAACACTTCCAGTGACTGGAGTTTCAATAATATTTCACTGTAAAATTAAGGGTAAACATTTTTTAAATACACATTTCTATGTTTAACTTGATATTTTTTATGTTACTTCAAATTAACAACAACTTAATTGCTGACATTCCATTCCATAATTTTTATGTCTTCAAGATAAAAAATTGGTGTAGATGAAGATCTGGTATAATCGTTGCAGAATATTCAATTATGAAGCATATTTATAATGATACTACCAATTCCCAAATGCTTAATGCATACATTATCTATTAAACTAATACAGAGAGTGATTGATGGATGTAACCAGAACCTTTGCACAAACTCACTAAGCAAACCAACGTTCCACTTAGCCTGTGATAATCAATATCACTATTGGCTTGGCAGAGTTAACTCATATTAATTATATTGTAGTCTTATACTGAGAAAATACAGTTCTGCATCATGGCAAAACAAAGCTTAATCCTTTTAATTTCCTTGCATTTACTTCATTCTTGTTTAAAACACAATTAACATGGGTGTGGTTTATCCAGAGAAGATGATCAAATTAAATCTTCTTTTTTTAAATCTGGAAAGTATAAGAACAAGAGTGGAACGGCAAGACTTGAAAACAGTTAAAGCTACTGTTTCCTGGATAGCATGTTCCACTATCACCAATCTACAATAGTCTTTAGCAGAATATTACAATTAGTTAATCCATAATAAATCAAATAAACTTAAAATGATATACTTATCTGCAATCAAGATCATAAAATAAAATAAATAAATATTTTAATATTACAATTATATAGTTTATAATTATCATTTAAATCTATAACTTACTTCTTCATAAGAACCTTTAGTGAGTACCTGTTGTAGAAGAATGCAAAACTCATCCTTATCTACACTAAGTCTATCATTGTATCCATCACCAAATGTCTGAGAAATAATGCATTAAAAAATAAGATAAAAAATTATGCAAATTTATACAATCTAGCAAATAAAAATAAATGAGAAAAATCTCTAATAATTACAACAATATTAATAACAATATATTATTATTCAATCAAACACTCTTTGTATTACAAACTTATTTGGAGAAAACAAACATAATACCAAAAAAAATATATATATAATTATTATAATTTTAGAATGTAGAATGTTATTAGTAATTACTACCCATAATTCATTAACATTTCATTCCTTAATACCAATTAATAAATGAAACTTTGAACTCATTAGCATACCATAAATGCTGACTTGAGTTGCTGCAAATCCTGTATGTTGAGTCTATTCTCGAGCTTCACACCGTACACCAGGACACTGTCCAAGTTGTTCTTATTAGAAGCCATATCTAGAGAGGGGAAAAGTAAAGTTTGAATAATTTGCAATTTGTGTAATCTTCCTTATGTTTAAAGACATGCAGATGCCTATAATATTTCAATAATTTTGGTTAATCTTATTTTATCCTAAAATTTAATCATCCATCAAACATAAAACAATGTTTTATTTATTCATTTAATCAGTCAACCAACAATCAATCAATTAATACAAAAATTTAAACTAGGACAAATTTATGGTTGTCTCATGTTCTCATATTATCTGTAAAAATTGCAAACGTGTGGATTTAAGTCATGTGACACTGGTGAAGAAGAGCCTGATCAGGACAGGTGATATGACAATCAAGGTTTTAACTTGTTTTTTTTGGGTCCGGAAATCTATGTACTAGGCTATTGCTCCACATTCACTTTTCACTGTGCTACATGTATGAAAAGACAAACCATTCAAATGAGAGACTTCAGGAAGGCATTTAAATTGAGTGTCTTAATTTACGAGCTATATATTTTTCAGAGATCTTCTGTTGAAAATAAGAGGCTATTTGTGCTGTGTACAGTAGTTAAAGGCCTAGATATAAATTTGGTCAGTTGTTTAGGGTTTAACACATTTACTGGCAAGCCTTTTTTCCTTGTTCAACCCCATAGCCAAGGCATAAAGGGGCCACCATTATGAAAATAATTTCCATCAACTGTAGTGAAACACAAACAAATATAGGGTAGTTGTTTTTAGATCATTACTTCCGGGTCCTTCCCTTAAACCTCCATGGCAAGAGTTTGTGTTCTGGCGACTACTGCCAGCGAGTTCATGTGCAATACGATATGTTGTACAGGACGTGTGGACGTTAATTACATCCTTGGAGCCCTGACTGAACCTCTTGGGCGTGAACTCACGTCCCCGGCAACGAACGTGTTAATGATTTAGAACACACAATGGTTGTGGTGACCTTGTATATCTTTTTCTTTATTGCTGAAAACTGCCTGATTCAAATTGAAAAAAAAAAAATTGTATAAAATAGTTGCTATGGATCAGCATGTTGATTCCTGATTGCATCACAACCATAATACACTGTATTGAATGGACTTAAATAATATTTGGTCGATATCCTGAAATATTAATAACATAGTGCCACCTAAATCTGTAATAAAATTCTAGGCCATTACGGAACTGACGACAGCTACTGTAGCAAAATCTCAATCACCCAGAAACTGACTTTGTGAAGTAAACCACAGTGGTAGTTAATAACGTTACATGTTTCTCTATGAGCAATTAAAAATTATATTAAAATTAATTTTCTATATTTTGTTAGGTGGAAGAATATCTTAAACTATTTGTTGTAATTTGGTATAAATAAGCACTGATTTAATTAGACAACAAACAGCCTTGAACATAACATACACACTTGAATTACAATGGAGCATCATCTAATTATGATTTTATTTAGCTTTCAATGGAACAAGTAGAAATAATTTGGCTTAAGACGTAAGTCAGTTCAAATTGTTGATTTTTTTTTTAAACCTTATGGTAATGAAGTTGGTAAATTTTTTTTTTCATTTAAGTAAATATTCAAAAATGTCAATAAAAAAAGGAGTCTTCTTCTTGATACCTTTAAATTGTTCATAAACAAATTATATCATTATCTTTAAAAAATGGTTTAAAAAAAAATATTATCTCCAGATTTTGATTTTCTTATACCTTAGCGAACCTGCTGCCAACCAATAACGATGACTTTGATTAAAAATCAAATTAAATTTTTGGCCAATTAGCACACCCTCCGTCACAAAAAAAAAATGAAAATTTCAGAGAAAAAAGTTTTCTTTATTTTTATTACGACCAGTGCTCTCTTAAAATCTCCAAAATAAGATGTATATTTCTTCTTAATTATGTAAATTCAAAGCATTTAACTATCCCATTACTACACTGTTTACAGTCACCAACAAAATTATATTTTTATTTTCTTCTCTGTCTGGATGTTTTTGGCAAAACTCTTTGCTAAACAAAAAACCAAAATTTTATTTTAATTTTTTTTTCTGCCCTCCTCTGATGATCTTTAAAAAAATATGTTTGCTAAAAAAAAAATTCTCGCCGTTGTGTTGCAAATTACTCAAAATGAAGCTGTCACGTTTGCAGTTCACTGATCTTTTCGTAACAAATATTACAAGATTCTTAAACAGACACTACGTAAATGACACCATTTCACCGCTTCTGATGTTTCATAACTCGTTTCGATTGTTACGTATGGCTACATCAACGGACCTATAACACTTTAAATAACGTGCCTCTTTTTACCTTGTTTAAGACCACAGACGAAAGGAGACAAACAAAAGCTATTTGGTCTTAATCAATACAAATCAATAATGATGAACTAGTAAGGGAAACTCAAGGAGATATATGCATGCTTCAACGGTTATTTGTCAATGAGTGTGTTACAATTTAGATTGAAATCTGAGCAGGATCACACAAGCCAGCTGTGATGTATACACATGCATTAGACTTCAATCTTTTAAAATAAACAATTGCAATAAAGAATGCACGTAGCATTCAGCTCAATCAATATAGCCTTCTAAAAATTCAATTAAACTTTGAGTTGCTTTTTCAAAAGAATCACATAAATATAACAACTTATCAGTTTTTTAAGACTTACAGACATTTTAATAATATCCTTAAATTTTCTGGCAGTAATTTGATACTGCAAAAACATTGGAGTGGTATGCTATATTTAAACATCTGTTAGTTGGTATGAACATATTTTTTTCTTGTTAAGATTTGAAAGAAAGTAAAAATTTATTGAAATATAAAGATATACCAGTATTATGAAGAAATATCACAATGAATGTTTACAAAGTACATCAATTGTTATTGTTTTCCCTATTGTGTTTGTTATTAAATTATCTTAGATTTTAATCAATTTAGATGACACATTTATCTTATTTATCCTTGAATGGATTTATAGAACGATTACGAGAAATTAAAAAATAAGAATCATTTTAAATATGGGTTGTGACAAAAATCAAATGGATGTCCGAGCTCAAACTCTCTCTAATATTATGAAGTACCTAAAGAACAGGCAAAAAATATTTATTAGATACTTTAGCTCCTGTAGCCAGCTCGAAATCTGACTACAGGGTTTATTCAATACCTCCTTGCTAGGCCCTGGTACAACCACCACCAGCTAAACCCAAACCGCACCACCACCGTGCACTGGTCCTGGACCTAGTTCGCAAACGACAGGTGCTTCCGTACACCAACATTAGAAGTGGTAGCAAATCAATAATTAATAAAGAATTAAATAAGTCTTACCTATGTTCCGTAGCGAACATTAATAAAGACAAAACTTTTCAGCGAGCTAAAACATAACGCTTCTTTTAACAAACTCAATCACGACTTTTCTCTCCGGATGGAGCTCAGCTCCCACACACTCGGTTAAGTGATTATTATTATTGACCTATCACTATCAATCAAAATGCTGTTACCAAGGAGATAAGTAACAGAGGGCGCATGCACGCTAACAGTTGGTAACTTCGCCATTCGGGTAGTGATTAATTTTTTTTTTCTAAAATTATAGGCCTATAAATCAGATAATTAACATGAATTTCATTAGGTAAAAGAAGTTAGCGATTATTATATTTTGAATTAGTAGGAACCATTAGGCCTATAGGCCTAACTGCAAAGTTTCCAATCTGTGTGCCAATGTCTTTCCAGTAAATATGAATAATGTTAAAAAGTGATTAAATCAAAAATTGGAACTTAGGCCTATTACAAGCCATTAAGATCACGATATATATCTAATATAGGCCTATTAGTTGAAATGTTTTATCGTAAATGGTTGTGTAGATTAATGGTGGTAGTAATGAGGATGGATGACGATGATAATTATGACGTTGAATGATGATGGAGACGATGGTAATTATGATGATGATGATGATAATAATAATGATGATGATGATGATGATGATAATAATAATGATGATGGTGGCGGTGGCGATGATGGCAGGGGTGGCACATACGAAGAATTTAAATTGTTTTTTGTTTATGGTCAATGTTGTATTGAGCAACCAACTTGGACTCTATGCGATGTCTATATCTCGTATCCTTCCATCACCCCACCACCCCTTTTTTCGGATATGAAACTTCACGTTCTAAAAAACAACTATCAAAGAAAAAAGAACTCTATCGTGTGGACATGAGCCGATTCTATGGGGGAGGGAGGGCACCCTCTAAATTTTTCTAAATAAAATTTGTCTACTTGGAATCTCTGAAAGTTGCTACTGTTCAGTACTTTCATCATCTTTTTAAACTTTTTTGGATTAAACGTACTATGGCGTTTTCTAAATCACATCTAAAAAGTAGTAGACGAGCATATGCAATGAAACTTTTTGTTCCGATGTTTCCATTTTTTTATGAAAATGATATGAAGTTTCAAGTTTAGATGACAGCATTAAATTCGGATATGAAATATTAAATAATCCCAGTGGGTTCAAAATCATTCCAAAGTATATTCGACTCTTGGATAGAGCGACCGCTCACCGGTCTTGGAGTTGAACGAGTTCAGCGTTCAACGCTTCGTGTATGCACCTTTCAGACGAAGCTTTTTGTTGACACTATTAAAACACGCTTAAATCATGGGGGAAATATCCTCCATGCTTAAATACTGTACCCAGTGGTGTAAGTCATTACAGTGGGTGTTCGGCAAGAATTCATAATACAAATAAATTTAAAAAATATAAAAAAATGTCTTAAAATTGAAAAAAAAAAAAACAAAACAAATTAATTAAATAGTTTCAAGTTCCAATGACAGCATTAAATTTGGATTTGAGATTTTAAATGTGTCCTAGTGGGTTTAAGTCATTCCAAAGTATAGTGCGGTACTGTATAATCGACTCTTGGAACAGAAATTAGAAAGCAGACACACTTCTAAATGCCAATATGCAATGTATTTATCAATCTGACATATAATTATATTATTATGTAAGCAATAAATATATTGCATTTCACGTGATTCGATCATCTTATGATGGCGGTATTACTACCTAAGTATAATATACCATCAATATTTATAATACAGTAGAACCCCTATTAAGGGAACAGTAATCAGAAACGTGAAATTGTCCTCTTAATAGGGTTATTTTTGCCTGTTTTCGATAATGAATACAGATTTTTATGTTACAGCAATTGACCTAAGAATGAGTTACAGTTGTATTTTAACTAGTTTTTATAACTACAGTAGTTTATAAGAATAATTAGCAATGCAATAAAAAGAAATCATAAGATTGAGGTGATAAATTGTATTGATTTGACCATTTTGAGCACTCAAAGCGTTCCCGTCCCCCTAATTGAGGTGTCCCCCAAATATGGGTTGGCTGAAGTGTTGAAAGATATATTTTCACTTCCACAGAAAAGTGTTCCCTTAATAGGGGTGTCCCAAAGATGGGGTTCTACTGTAGTCAAAAACGTAACTGATATTCTCGACAACTGTATGTATATATTGTTCACTGATAATAAAACATTTCGTGTTCTGGTGAGCATACCAAATTTTGAAAGATTCTGGATCGAGTAGGGTACATTTTTGTAACAACAAACATAAGTTATACAGTACTTCGTTTATTATTTTATTATAATTAGTAATTGGACTTTTAAAGTAGAACATGGCACACCACCCACCAATTTTCCACACAAAATATGCATTCCAATTTGTTATAATCTGTTGTTATATATTTTTTTATTTAATCTTCAGCATCGGCCATCCGAAAACCTAAACTTTTAAAAACACACATGTTACTTCCAGATTTTTAAATGTAATAAAACTCTTCAGAAAGACACTACACTAAATTTTTAGTAGTTAAAATTGAATAGTTTCTATTTAAACACAGTTTAATGATAAAGATAACTGAAGTTGTAAGAGAAATACCAAAAACATAATTGAACTTTCTGCTAAGCCACGCCCCTTGGATATTGTTGCTAAGGTCCCACAAAACAATAACTGAGATTACACTAGCACGTGCGTTTCTGGGGCAACACATTATATTTGTAGGACACGAGTATACTCTGACTCTCTACTGATTGGTCAGCAGATAAGTTTGACCATCCCTCCGGAAAGGTCCATTGTTGTTGGTGGTAGTAAATTCATTATTTCAATGAAAACTGAAGTTTCACAAATCAGCATTTTGACTACAGACGCTTGCCACGGTCCCTTTAAAGCCTGTTTTCTTCCACTAGGCGAAATTATTCGAGCGAATCGAAACCGTCGGTTCATGCACATTTACATTTCTATCGGAGTTTTTCGCTTTAGCGAAATCAGTAATTCGAATTGTGTCTACTGTTTGGAAACTAAAAAAGCGCAACATATCAGAGATCAGAAAGCAAACCAACGCTTTCGAATCGCGCATATAAATTCGCCTAATGGAAAACAGCCTTTAAAGAAAGTTTTGACATGATTACAATGTCACGAAGGTTATTGACATTGATAATACATGTGTAATTATGTTAATTGCTTATTTGAATAAATATTTATTCCAGTAAATATACACCGCATAGTAAGAACATCAGCGGTCCGAAGGCTACACAATTACTGAAAACTTTAGCTAGCACAATTGTTAAATCGAAAGCATCGGTTCATTCACATGCGCATTTTACATTCCTACATTGAATACAGACGCTTGCCACGGTCCCGTTAAAATCTGTTTTCCACTAGGCGAATTTATTCGAGCGAATCAAAAGCGTCGGTTCATGTGTATTCACATTTCTATAGGAGAATTTTCGCTTCAGCGAAATCAGTAGTTTGAACTGTTTTTAATTTTAGGAAGTCAAAAAATGCGCCAATAATCAGAGCACAGGAATTGAACCGACACAATTGATTCGCGCGTATAAATTCGCCTATTGGAAAACCGCCTTTAAATAATGTTCTGACATGATTACAATATCACGAAGGTTATTGACGTTGATTATACATGTGTAATTATGTTAATTGCTTATTTAAATAATTACTTATTCCAGCAAATTTACACTGTATAGTAAGAGCATACAGTGGGAAGACTACACATTTACTGAGTACTTTTGTCAGCACAATTAAATGGCTGGTTGTGAAAATAACCGTGTGTATTGTATAATACATTTTAATATTTACCGTAGATTCACTCATTTTGTTTTTCTTCACCATAGCATCCAAAATATAACTGAGAGTATATTCAAGCAATAATGTACATTATTAACCAGATTCAACATATATTTCGACATTTAATATTTGTGATAATCATTCAAAAATACAACCAACCACATGAAGTTCATCTCTCATTGTCGGTGGCCCCAAGTTGGAAAAAGCCACTACTGAGAGATAGGTTAAATGAGCTAATTATATATTGCTACTTGTGGCGATACCTATCAAGAACTGACTTACGGGAGACATTTCATAATACAGTAGCAAAGTCATGCAAATATCATGAATTTGCGGGAGAAAAGTTAGTTTCCGGGAGGTTTTTGCTTGCTCGTACAAATGCAGGATGCCGTCCCGATTTCTGGGAGACTTGAGACCATTGCATTGTTATTGATTAATATTTTCTTTATTGCATTCATGAGAAATATCTTTCATCTATTCGTTTACAAAAGCGTGTAAGTCTTGGGTAACCCTTCACAACCACAGCCAACTGTCCTTCATCAACAGCGGTTGTAAGCATTGATTTGAGATGTCCATACACCAATGCATCAAGTTCTGTAACCCTGAAAAAACAAATTAGTTTGAAGACTTTCTAGCAAAATGTGCATCTTTAGTTTAAATTTAAATCTGTATAGTGTAGTGGAAATTTATATTTATGGTAAAAAAAAATGTCAGAAACAGAAATATGCTCACTCTTCACAAGTTTGTACAGTAAATATATAAAACTAGAAAAGTGTAAATAAATTCAAGTCAACTGACTGGTTTATGTATTAATTAAAATTCACAACATCTCACTTAACAAAAATATAAATTATCATGCTAACATCATCTTAACCAATAAATCAAAATTTTAGTACTAAAAATAAACAGTTACTAAACCACGAGACATCTTAATAATTAATAGCAATATCAATAATCAAGGAAAACTAAAATGCCATGAACTGAAGACTCAAATTACTTGAGATATTACCACTCATTCAAAAATGGTAATGACAGTTTTTTTGCACTTAGCTATGCATGCTCTAAGAAGAAGAAATTATTGATGGATGTTAGGCATCAATTATTGATATCTATTTAAATAAAACGCATCAAATTCATTTGAATGGATCTGTGACATATTGATTTGGAGGCCTGTCTCTCTCTGAATCCCAGGAGTTTCAACCTTCAATCCGAAAAAAATACTTTTATATACAGTTAAACTTGCCTAAGATGACCTAACTCAAATAATTTCTAAGTTGATCTTATTTTACATGCCAAATTGTTGTGTTTTCCATTACAGTAATTAAATGATCTAGAAATCAAATTTTATCTAAGTCAAACAATGTTTCAATGCCATTTTTGATTCGACTCGGGCAAGGTTAACTGTATAACTAATAGTAAATCCACTCTCCATACCTCATAAAAAGACTTGCGTTATAGAGTATAACACCATAGAACGAACATTTTGGATTTGACTTAGGCGAGTTCAACTGTATAACCTGTAGTAAATCCACTCTCCATAAGAAAAGACTTACGTTATAGAGTATAACAACATAGAACGAACGTTACTCCGAATAATGAGAGGGAGGCCATAATTCAACGTTTTGACCTTTATTAGGTCAACTTCACGAATGAGAAAACTATCAAGGATTCAAATAATTAGCCTTTTACACCCCAACCTTCTTATAGACTTGGTAATAAAGCCCAGAGGGTCCTAATTATCTGCCCTCCACTCCCTAAACCTCAAAAAGGAGACTTGGCTTTAGAAAATTCAAATGATCAGCTTTCCATTTCCATGGAGGTTAAAAAACATGCTTATAATATTATACAATGAAAAGTGCATAAGAAATAATCTTACTGATCCATGAAAAAATAATACTGATCTCCGACACGATCTGATAATGAACGACAACAATTGTGTATATCATCATAAACCTGAAATAGATACAACAAAACATAAAAACAATTATAGTATCATCACAAATCTGAAATAAAATTGATCAGGAAAATGGATAAGACAAAAGCTAAACTACAGTAAACAATGTCACCTCAGCTAAACTAGTGGTAAAGTCTAGTTTCCTTAAAATCACTACACTGTCACTACAGTGTTTTCAGTGCAATCAGGAAGGCTCCCCAGTTCAACCGACCAATCAGCATCACTGAAAGCTCTCGGTGATAGCATGTAGCGATTGTATGGAAACCAAGCTTAATATGTTAGGATAAGTCATAATCAACAAAGAACTTAAAGAATATTCATTGAAAATGTAATGATACACTATCAAACCAATATAATGTACAATAATGCATTTTTACCTGTTCCTTTGTCTTGCTACTCCAGCCCGACACTCTAAGCTTCTTGTAAACCTTGGCTTGCTTGGACCAGGCTAGCACATGATTCAAGGGCCATTTGTGAGGTGACCCATACCTAGGCCTAGATATTGCACTTGCATTTTCCTTCACGTTCCAGCTTAGAAATAGCTAACAAAAAACCCCACTTAATATTAAGAGTTACAATCAATAAATAGATGAGAAAAACATAAACATATCATAACAGAAAATAGCTAATAAATAATGAGTTTTAAGAACAAGGGATGTGCCTGATAACTTGCTATCTCAATGTTCTATAAGTATTTTTTATGAGAAATGGGGTGTGGAGAGCTGAACCATTCATTCTACATAAACCCAGAATTTTATAAGGCTTTATGATTGAAGCTGTTTTGGTTGTGAGAAAATTCCGGAAATATTAAAAAAAATAGAAACCTGGACCTTAGATTGGAAGGCAAGAGTTTTAACCACCAAGCCATAGTTTAAGAATGAATGAATTACATAATTATAATTAAATAACACATTTATGTAAATGTATAATACCTTTGCCATGTACAGCCTGTTGGTGGTGAGGGTCAGGTAGGCCTGCAGCTCAGCCTTCTGATCAGCACTTAGGTCTGCTGAAAGTGACTTTCCCTAAAACAATATCAAAATCAGGATGAATTAAAAACATAAAAAGAGGGCTATTGGTTGGCACTTCAATTTTTTCAATTGTGATGCTCTCAATGCTCTATATTTAGCCAAAGAACTTTAAAAAATAGCAGAAGAATGAGCTCTTTGTTTAGTTTGCATTAAAATTTTTGGAATGTCCGCCTTCAGGCGAGTGGAGGACTACTTAAACGAAACCCAAGCAGCACCCTTGATTATAATGATATAACGCCGTCACTCGGATGGAGTAACATTGTCTTCAATGGACCCCATCCTCTCACAATGCATTTCAAAGTTCCACTATATGACAAACTGGTTTATCTTCTCCTTCTATTATGTTTGATTTAACTAATTCTCAATTAAAAAGATTGGAGACTGCTTTTTGTTAGGCATGTTTTTTTTTTTGCCAAGATTAAAACCTAGAACTTATGATTGAAAGAAATCATAAGCATGATTAACTACAATCTTGATACTTACTCTTGCAGCTAAAAATTCAACAATTGAATCAAACTCAGAAATGATCACTTCATCTGTCTTTATGAAAGGTAGCTCACCTACATTATAAATCAGAAAAATGCAATAGAAATAATGAAGGCAGATTCAAAATGTTTTCTTGTATTGAAAAAAAAAAGGAAGTCCTGGAAATATTTTCTAATCCAGTGATTGGCATCACACTTCATCAGGAGTCCCAAGTTTCAAGAAGTTACTTCCCTCAGTGTTAATCAAAAATTCACTTTGGCCTTCCAACCCATTTTTATGCCCAATCCTGTGTTAATCTGATATGAATTATAGCTTGATAAAGTTTTGTTATTTCTATATAAAAAAAAAAGTAAAATGTATACCTTTTCTATGGTTTTCAATATTTTCTGTTGTAGAAAAATTATTATGTAGGATGAAATATAAAAGAATCTCAAATATGTTAGTGCCAGCAATAATTAACCTGTAAATACTACCAATAAATAAGGAGTTATGGATTGTAAATAAAATTCATTATGTGGTTCATTAAAATTTAATATTTTTTTGGGCAGATTTGAAACTGCTTTTCAAATTGAAGATTTTATCCCTATATTTTGATGTATCAGTTCCTACCTGATGGTGACATTTGTTCCGCATTTTGTTTCTCTTTTACGGTGAAATTGATACCACACATGTGCAGTAAGGCTTTCACAGCCAAGCACTGTGCTTGTTCAGGTAACAAAATTTGAGTTTCTGGGAAAAAAAAACATCATTAAAATTCTACATAATTATGTATGGTGCAATATATCAACATAATTATAATTTATATTTCACTTTAAAAACATGATGTAAAATAATGCATTCAGTAATGTTTTAATAATTGTTAAGCTTTTTTAATATAATTTTCATCTAATATTTTGTTTAAACTGTATAGGAATGCACAACATGTTACTGCAATTTATAATGTAACACTAAAATTTAACATAAAAACAGGCTAATCACTCCAAATTATATTCTTAATACATAATATAATTTATTATATATAAAGTACAGGATACAATTTAAACTTTAATTGAGTTAATTTTTCTTGACTTTATATTGTTTAAGAAACAATTTATATTGTTTTTTACATTGATCATTTCTATATCTGTAGATGTTTATTGATATTTATTGATATTATTTTTTAAAATATATTTACAGTGAAATATAAAATGCTTTGAGAATCATACCTTCCAGAGGCTGAAATATATCAACATGTTGTGGAACATTTTGTTCACCTGAAAAAAAAGTTCTTGTAAGTTTTAGGCTAGATAAAATTATGGGAGGAATTGGACAATATTTTGTTGAGCACTAGGCCTACTACTACTCTGTACTACTACTAGTATTACTACTAGGCTACTACTACTAACCTTCAGTCCTTAGGCGAGACTTTTTTTATACCTTGTTTAGCGAATCTGCCGACTGCAATTGAAGATTTCGAATAAAAATAAAATTTTATTTTCGGCTACTTAGCGCACCCGCCGCCACGAAAAATTGGAAATATCAGAAAAAAATAAAAGTTTTTCTTTATTTTTATTACGTCCTCTGCTGCCTTAAAATCTCCAAAGATAAGATATGTATATTTCTTCCTAATTATATAAATTTGAAGCATTTAACCATCCTAATTTACATTCACCAATAAAATTTTATTTTTATTTTCTCCTCTGTCTGGGTGTTTTTGGCAAAACCATGGAGGTATTATAGTGAACTATAATACCTCCATGGCAAAACTATTTGCTGGCCTAAAATAAGAAAACAACATTTTATTTTTATTCCGCCCTCCTCCAAAGATAAGTACGCGAAACAATTTTAAAAAAAGTCACGCCTTAAATAGTATAGAATAGAAAAAGCAATTTCTAATAAATGGCAGCTCCACCTACTGTAACATATAGGCTTCTTTTATAATGATCATTTCCTCAGTTTAACAAGTTGCATACGCAAGATCGATCTTTCCTGTCGCTCCTCAGCAAGTCGACACCGACAAAAGCCTAGGACTAGTCATAGTCAAATCGTCATATATATAGCACTAACCTTCTCTTTGGGTCTCCATCACATCGGTTAGGAATATACTTGGACGAAAAAAGTGCATTTGCTACAAACTCCAGTTCCTGGAGCTTGAAATATCCCTGCTGCTTTCTCTGCCCCAAAAATGGAACGGCGTGTTGCGATGTGCCGCTTTCTCCCTGTGCTCAAAATCTTGTACACGCCCCCAATATAGGACCCCTTGATTGATTTCAACTCAACTCAACTTCAGTCGGTTCGTAATTGTATAAGGAGACCTCTCGTCTCAATACACCATAGGCATATTAATCATTGCAAGAACATCATCCTTATGATGAGGAGTATTTATTATTTATTCTTTCATAACCAATTAATATCTAAAATTCACGGCATATTTCCAAAGACTGTGAAAGACAAAAGCATTAGAGGAATACGAGGGCATGAGATTAATTCTCAAATAACATTTTTACACCTATAGGCCTAGGCCTATTAAAGAGAAATTTACAGTTAATTAAACATTTGTTTCTAAAATTATTCATAACACAGGGCAGGTAACAGGAAAAAAAACAGAGAGGCAATGATTATCAACATTTCTGTAATTTTATTGGATCATGAATGTTAATAGGCATTGGTGATTAGTAATTAATAGTAGCATTAATGGCTAAACATGATATAGGGGCCTAATATTTGAAAACAAAGTTATTTGATGATTATATATTTTCATAACTTTCTGTAACTCAATGTGGAACAAGTCCTATTGCATAAAACATATATTGTTCGTCTGCTGATGGTATTGTACTGATGGGCTACAGTGATCTTATTTATTTATTTATTTTTGCAATATAACACATTTAAAATACAGTAGGCTTGTACGCATATAATATTTATTTGGCAGCATTCCGGGAAGCAAAAATCTTGTCCCAGATGAATAACAAAAATAAAATATGTCTACAATAGTAAATGTCCTATTTCTTGTCTTGCAGGAGTCACTAGATGGCCTACACCTAACTCTTGGTCAAGGAAACACAAACATAATATCAATTTCTTACACATCGGCACAAAGTGTGATTAGAGAACTCTACTCGAAATCATCGCGTTTACTTTCGTTTCACCCATGAGAGGCACAACATGGGCTCGAACTCAAATCCGGAAAACGATTTTTTTTTACATTTACGTACATTAGTCGGTTTAGTGATATAAATTTTAATAAATTAATAAAACAATAATCAAACTTCACGATGAGTTTAATATGAATCTAGTTTTAAAAAAGGTGGAAAAACAACTAATGGGCATAAAGTATAAGTATACATCAAACTATGTTAGTTTACGTGATTAATGGCGGTCAGAATCGACAGTGATCTGGCATGCAAAGTTGGATTCCATTATATATAAAGTTATTAAAAATTATTTCCAATATGTGTCAAGAGTATAACATCGTCCACGCCACCACTGGAAGAAAAATAAAAATAAGATACTTAAAACTGTGTACCAATCAAATCGAATGTAAACTTTGGAATAACAATGTAACGTAGCGGTACCGGTAATCATTCTTCTAGTAGGCCTAATAAGTGTCAATTGCACTGTAGCGCTTTACGCAGACTACATAGGCCTATGGAGATTGTACAAAAGCTAAGAAGACAGAACGCTAACGATGATGATGATGATGATAATGATGATGACATGAATGATCATGAACGATGATGATGATAATGATCAATTTTCGCATTATAAATAAGCCTTGTTGCGTTAAAGACAGGCTCCGTCTTGTACAACTAATTTTTTCTATAAAAAGCGTAGGCCCTATTTGACGAAAAAACTTACAGATATTTGAATATTTAAAAACTAGGGGAAAGGTGGAAAAATGGTGGGTGACGCCCCTTTCTACTCTCCCCGCCCCCGGCCCGCATTTAAATACTTAAAAAGCTGTACCTTATTAACTGCTTCCGAGTTTCTAGTCTTAATTATATTTGTTGTGTCTTTATGGACCTAAAGCCCCGCCCCTTGGATTTTGTGAGACAACACGTGTGTTTATGAGACGCGCACGTACTTCCTATCGCTGTTCTGATTAGTCAGTTGTTAAGTTTGATTGACACTCCAGAAAGGTCTATTGCACGTTTGACTGACTCACCAAGCCCTTGCAGTTGCAACTTTGAGGAACGACGCATTTCGTCGAGTAAAGTTCTTTGAGAATCTTTCCCTTTGGACATGCGCAGCCTGGTCGACATAGCGCACGGCATACAATGTCAGGATTGTCGCATGTCTGTGGACAAGCAGATGCGCATTCATTGAAAACAAGATCCCCACGACAGTCTGTAATTTAAATAAAATCATTCTGTATATATTTAAATAAATATCACATACAATATATTAAGTCGTACTTATGTCTGTTTGAATATTGAAATTATCATATACCATAGGCCGGAAATTTATTTCTTTGGGAAAATTAAATTTTTCATAAGTATTCACGGTAGGTATTAATATACTGTCTTTTTTTTTGTTGTTATCATCTTTATTATTAATGCGTTAATGATATCAAATATAAAATATTATAAAAAAATAAAAATATAATAATATAAATTATTTATAACGGCAATGACCTACTTGTTTCTAGACATTCCGCGTCAATATTTAAATTGCGGTCGTAAAAATCCACAAAACATCCACCACAGTAATTTGGTCTGTCGAATAAAAACAAAGGTGTAAAAATCAATGTTACATACATATAAATTATCAACAGACAAATACGGACAGACACATGTTTAAAGACAAATTAACTGAGAAAACGTGAGAGATAGACGGATGGATGGACAGACGGACATGGGAAGACGGATGAATGATGAATAGATAGATTGATAGACGAAATGGTTGAATGATTTATTGATTGACTGATTGATATATAAAAACGTGAGAGATAGATAGATGGATGGACAGACAGACGTGGGAAAACGGATGAATGATGAATCAACAGATTGAAAGACGAAATGGTTGAATGATTTATTGATTGACTGATTATAATTGGTTGACTGATTGATTAATTGGTTGGTTGGTTGGTTGGTTGATTGACTGATTGACTGATTATGATTGGTTGACTGATTGATTGATTAATTGGTTGGTTGATTGATTGATTGACTGATTATTGGTCGGTGGATAGATTGATTGATGGACGAATGAATATGGATGGACTCTGACAGAACGAATGGACTGTTTTACAGTGTAGAGGAAGACATCATCATTAATTGTATTCGCAATCCACTGTGTGCAGTAAGTTAGGTTTCCTGGATCGAACATGAGCAAAAATTAACATTTAAAGTACAAGTACGCAGAAAACGAATATAAGATGCAGTACCGGTATGTCAAAAACACTGTGTACACAAGCTAAAAAATACTTACACACATGACGTCATTGGGTTAACTTCACATATGGTGTCGTCACACGGATTTTTCTTACAGACACTTGGCTCACTTCCATCGGGGCACGGATCTTAAAAAATATTTCATTACCATGAATCAGGCCTAATTTAAGATAATGCTCATCTCAACACACACAAGCCATTTGTAAAATCAAGATTAGTCTATATCAATGTATTTATTATTATTCAGATAAATATTAGACTATTGTTACATATGAAAGAGGGCATATAATGACAACAACTATATGCGTTGATTATTATGATGTCAATCGAGACGACATCATAATATAGGCCTAACTCCAGCGTTATTTTGCCATGTATTAATCTTAATAATTTCCATCTAGTGTATGATTTGCAACTAAACTAATTGCTTAATATCATATTTCATTATAAATTATTATTATTTAAAGTGCATCATATTGCAAAAATTCAATTAATTAAAATATTGATCCAATGTTTTATGTAGGAGATACGTACCTGGATTCGGAAGACAACTGCAGGTTGGACAACCCTCTGAAGTTACTTCAGTTCCAAACGGGCATGGATTTGCACATTTAATTTGTGGGCAAACTAAAAATAAAACGACGATCATTTACAGTATATAAACGTGTTTTATGAAAACGTCACAGTTACAATAAATAATACAAACTGTTATCATGACTAACCATCCTACCAATATAATATTACATAACTTCGGTTACGGCCCAATTTTTAGATACTATCCATTATTAAGCCTATCACTGGCTCAACATTATAATGGGATTTTTAGAATCCAAAGTAATACACTACATCCAAAATAGTACAAAACAGCTAACACTAAAATGGTTTGTAATAGGGCACGGACAAATTCACGTTAGTAAAACAGGAAAACATGAGAGGTTAACCTTTGGGAGAGGAACGTTGTCTTTCTTTAGATCACTAACTCAACATTATAATGTTGCATACGGTCGAAGCATGTAACCAATACTAGGCCTATGATTTTAAATGAATGTGATTAATCTTGTCGTGAGTCGGACAATCTAAAACCAGATACGTATAGGGTACGCTTTTAATGAGGTTTTCAAACGTGACTTAGAGACGAAAATGTGCCCAAGACATGGTATATATTGATTATCATTATTCCTACTCAAGCGGCTACGAATATTTGAACCTCTGGCTATAATTATGCGGATGGCTGACCGTGCATATCCTCGCTGCCACTAAGGTGATCTAGATTATCAAAAGTAACATCTTTGCCGTTACCATTATTAGGTTGTTAAAATATTCACATTTTATGACACAAATGATTTACAGTATATCGCGGTGTAAAAACGTGTTTATATAACTTTGTAAAAGCAACATAATCATTTTACATTTATTGAGCAAACTGAGCAAACATTACCTGTTGGACACTCCTCGATGATATTTCCCTTAACATCGTAGAAAACTGCATCGCATCCTTTACAAAAGTTGTTTCTAGTAAATGTTTTAAAATAGACACGAGAAAATATTTTAAAGACAATAACATCGGCATTGAAATACAGATAAACAAACTAAATGTATCAACATTACAGGGTACATTATTATATACAAGTTTCTATCATACAATATATTTCAGAATTTGTATTCAATTAATTTGTTAAGCTCATTGATCATGAAATAGGCAGAAAAGGCTGCCGACGATAATGAAGGAATATTTTAAGCTGTTTTAAACAAATTGCTACAATGTCGCTGAAGGTTTTTTTTTTGAATTGCCTTTCTCTGCGTAGTAGCTGTCTAAAACGTCTCCAACACTAGAGATTAGACTCACCAATCAGCGACGCCGAACGCTGTCAGTGTTGATGGTTTGTAGCGATTTCATTGGAATTTGGATTTTATAATATAAGGCCACAAACACAAATTACTTACATGCAAAGTGATGGTTTGACGGAACAAGTTGCAAACTGACAGGGACTTACAAAACAGTTTACAGGCACGTCGCCTTCGTCACATGGAGCTACCAATTTTTCAAAAGAATAAGTTAAAATTACAGTATAATCGAACTAAATTAATACATTTATATAAAATGTTAGGCCTAGACCTAAGAACGAGGTTATAAAAAAAGGAATACAGACTTTTAGAGATTGAGTATAAAATATGGAAATGAAATTATTTCTGTCAACTACAAATTTTTGACATCTTACCTGGCAAACAATCACAAGTTGGACAACCATTTTCGTCTATGACGTTTCCAAATGGACACACAAACTTGCATTCTAAGGTTTTGCAGACAATATCTTTTGAAATAATATTTTATATCAAACCATTAAAATCCTTGCTATAATAATAATAATAATAATAATAATATAAACATTAAAAAACACAGCTCCGCGTACACTAGTTGTAGGCCTATAGCCTGGCGGAAATGCACTTACCCTCACATAATGTACCAGTGTAGCCCGGCGGGCATATGCACGTGAACGTACAGTCTGTAAAATCACACGTCCCACCATTGGAACAAGGGTTATTGTCAGGATTAAAGCAAGGGTTGAAAACTGGTTTAGCTGCAACGAAGAAAACAAAAGCATCTGCATAATCTGAAAGGATTTTTCTTATACTGATCTTATGCCATCATGTCTGGTGCCTATAATAGCCAAAGTGGATAAATTGGAGCACAGTAACACACTACTCAACTCCCTTTTTAGGAGTAGGCTTATATTTTGTGATCGCGTCTAATGATTGTCGACTTTTTCCAGGCATATGGGTGCATAGGCATAATTCTTCAAATGAGTTTGTTCCCCTTCTTCCATTGTGTTGTCGATGTGTTTTTATTCATTTATAATTTTTAATATTTGATGTATTTTAAATACATTTAAAATACATCAAATATTAATGTATTTTAAATGTTCGATTAAATTCTGTATTTAAATTAATTAACTTTTAACTGTTTTATTGTAATCGTGCAATTCAGCCGTAAGGCTGAGATTTCGATGTGTTTTTTTTAAAGAACAGAGTGAATGAAACATGTACCGGTACCATTGGGGCTTAGGTGAGTGTGGACTTTCTATCGGGGATCTTGGATCGCCCGTAGGGGATTTTAGATCACCTGTCGCTTCGGGGATTTTGGACCTTTCGTCGGAGATTCCGGCGCCTCTTATTAATCACTTCATCAAGTTTTAATATTAATATAAAATATTACAAACCAAATTCACAGAATTCTCCGCCGTAACAATTCGTACACTGACATACGTATCCAATGCCAATCTTGTCAGGTATACAGGTGGCGCCATTCTCACACAGGTGGTCTCCAGAATGACAGGGATTTACTACTGGATCTATGAAAATATTCAATGAACATGATTTTTGAAGATTTGAAATACTCTTGAGATAAAGAAATATTATGTTGCGTAAAATATTGATTTGAATTTAGATTTAGATACTTTTGTGATCAGGATAATTCCTGCCGCAAATATAAATGCTATACAATACGAACGGAAATTATATCGAATAATTAATATTGCTTTCACAAATGTACAGAGTGTACCAGTAATAGACACGTCACTCTATTTCTATTTTAGAGAATTAGTCGTCGACATTACAAGTTCATGCATCCGCCTATTTGGTCTATGTTGAGATTATATATTACCGGGATCTGGATTTCTGCTGGGATTGCAAATATCTTGTGTTGGTTCAAGTACACTAAGTACCTCCTAGATGGCCGGAACCATATAAACCAAACTGTTTTGATCAAATACCACTAACACGTAATACATATAACGAATTGATCTAAATATGATGAAAGGTGTTAGTCGGTATTGGTAGTTAAGCTGAGGATGTGCACATTTATATCGTTTAATATTAATCCGTCACAATTGACTGCCATTTCTAATTTGAAACGTACCAATGGCGTGATGAGGGCTCAAATCCCAACGCTACCATGCAATATTTTTATTTTTTAAATCTATATCAATAGTATTATTTATCATCATATATATAAATATTCATTCTTGGTACAGTATCTTTATTCAAAAATAAAATATATAAAATACAAAAATCGAACAAAAATACGTAGCAGCAAGAAAAAGCGCTGAAATTCTCTTCTTTATTTCAAATAAAATCTTAAAAAGAGACCACAGATAAAAATTACATTCAGTCCGTAAAGAAATACGTTTAGTCAAACAACACCACAGATCAACGATTTAAATCCTTGATAAATTTACTTCAGATGCTAGAAATTGGACACTAAGCCGTTGGTGTATAATGAATTAAAATAACTAACTAATTTGCAAAAATGTTGACACTTTTAAATTGACTCCATGAAAATTCCCTTTTAATAAACACTGGTCTTTCTGAAGGTTTAATGCACCAATCATTTGGTGGAGTGGTTCGAATCCCATCGCTCAAACTACATGTTTAGTCTTAACCTATATATTAAGAGTTTATGGACCTGATTGCATCCATGACGTGTTACGACTACGTGCTGTCTTGTTAAAAGTATTGGATGTGTCACATTCTGACGTTCAAAAGCTTAAAAAGCTATGAAGAAAAATCGTATCCATTTTTGCCTACCTTGGCAGTATGTTCCCGTATGAGTGGATGGACACTTGCATGTAAAATCGCAGTCGGTGAAATCGCAAATTCCACCATTTAGGCATGGTCCTGTAACGCTGAAACATGGATTGGCAACTGGTATACCTACAATATATATTAATAATAACATAATATTTTATAACGGTCATGAATAATAATTGAATTGTTTCAATCTGTTTGCTGTAATAATATATTAGGCAGCATTATTATTATTATTATTATTATTATTATTATTAGATATTATTATCATTATTATTATCATCATCACATGACTCACGGTACATATTTTGCAAAATTCGCCAGCAGCCATGATGTGCATTATAATTATTATTATGATTATAATGATAATTGAATTGTATCTATCTGTAATAATAATAATAATAATAATAATAATAATAATAATAATGCTTGTGTACACCACATAAATAGTTCTAAAAAAACTGTTATTAATAATAATATATAATGCTAGACAACACTCATTCTTTGATCGATAATTATAACTGGTTGCGCTCTCGAAAGAGACTTGTGCCACAAATGCAGAACAAGCAGATATAACTCATTCATTCAATTCAGTACTCCATAAGAATGCGCAATGAATCTCTTAATCAATGAATATGCAATACTAATCAGGAATTAAATCAACTTAGTGATGGACTTAATTAGATCTTACTTCTTGCGACTCATGTTATACATTTACTACTTATTGTTTACCATACTCTATAAGAATGTACAAAAATTAGTTTTGCCTCTAACAATTATAGAGAAATAATTGGTGGAGCGATTTTCATTATTTATAAATAATTTAAAGTAGCACAACATTATTTATAAATAATTTAAGTGCCAAAAGTCATTATTTATAAATAATTATTTTAACATCGTATGATTTATAAATACGAAAAAGCGCCCCACCAATTATTTATATATAATTGTTCGAAGAAAACTAATTATATGCATTTAATGCATGTACATCCATCGTCCGTTATATACATAATGGTTTCACATCAAAATATTTAACGCCGAAATCATTATACATATATATATACACACATATATATATATATATATATATATATATATATATATTTGATGTATTTTCATTATTTTTCAAAAATATATTTATATAAGTA